CTCCTCCGGGGGCCCCCAAGGGCGGCGCAGAGGGCAAGGAGGCGTCCCAGCCGTTCGGCCAGGCGGCCGTCGCCTTCCCGGCCCTCCTGGGCCCCGCCAGATCCGCGCAGCCGTGCGGCCGCCAGCCCTCTCCCGCCGCCAGCCGGCCTGACCTGGAGGGCGAGGGCTACCCCAAGCCGCCGGTGCTGCCCCTCCTGGGGGCGTACCCCGGCGCCGAGGCGCTGAACGGGAACTACCAGTGCCGCCTGCAGGCGCTGAACTTCTGCGTCAACGAGCACAGCTGCGCCACGGCGCTGGAGCACCTCCTGGCCTCGCCTGCCGTCTCCGCCCCGGCCAGCCCCCTCCAGCCGCCCCCCTTCGTGCAGCTCCCGGGGGAGCAGGAGGCCTGGGCCGGGACCCCCTTCTCCCTCCAGGGAGGGAACGGGTACCAGCTGGGCCTCCCGCACTGCCTCTACAGGACGCCAGGCATGTTCTTCTTCGAGTGACGGCCGGGCGGGGGAAGGCACCCCGCAAGCGTGCGCAGCGCCGCCAAGACCCCGCACCTCTCCAGCGGGACCGACGCACACCCCAGCGGCTGCCTCCGCCCTGGCATAGCCCCAGGGCCTCCGAGGGATGGAGGCCACCGGCGCCCGGTTCCAGCCGAGAGAAAGCCTCCCCTGCCTGATGGACCAAAGTACTTTTTACTTTTTTGCTAGTGGAATAAACGCATATTGCACCCTAGGATCCAGACGTCCTTTCTCTGGCGACCTTGATGGGCGTCGCGGGCCGGGGTGGGTCGGAGGGGCCAGGGATGCTGTCGGCGCTCACAGTTTGGTACGTGGCTCGCAGGAGAGCTGGGACTTTTCGGATTGGACAGCTCCTGCCCAGCTCCGTTTCAGCTCCGATACCCACGTTGCGGTCTGGTCTGGTCTGGTCTGGTCGGCAGCTTGCTTCGCTGGCAGGCGCTTTCCGGCTTGGTGGACCCAGGCCTCGGCCCCTGGCGTGGTCTGCTGGCAGGCCGCCCCGTTGCCCCAGGTGGGCTGGCCAGGGAGCCGGAGTTCCATTGTCTTGGCCACTTGCCAGAAAAGAATAAATCAATGGCAAGAAAAATGTGTTAGGTGGTTTTGCTGGAGAAAAACAGTGAACTAGAAGCTGGAGCCCTTAGTGGAGGGAGGGAGGGGTTGTGGTCTGCATGAGCTCAGAGATACTCTGGGCATACATGAACTTACTTAATACAAATGTTTCCCGTTGGGGGTAGATTCGCTATGTTCCATTGATTTACTGCACTGATAACCCAGCTAATCCAATTTGAGCTCCATTTTCTTGGTGAAAAGGCAGGATACAAATCAATCAATAAAGAAATCCTGGCTTTTATCCACCAAGCCTGAGAGAATGTACATGCTCTTTCTCTCATTGGGTCTTCACAACAGCCCTGCGAGGTAGGTTAGGCTGAGAAGTAGAGACTGGCCGAGCATCACCCACTGCTTGTCATGACCGAATGGGGGTTGATCCTGAATCTCTTGCCTTATTCTTGAACATATACATCACACTGGCTCTGAGAAGTGCCATTTCCGCTTAAGGATTTACCATAGTCAAGTGATGTACAAATATCACAGCTAAATAAAGCCACTGAGGCACTCTGCACATGCTCGGAATCAGATGCATTTCTCTTGGGGGGGCCCAGAGTGCCTGGAATCAAAAATCGAAATTAGCCGAAGCCCACCAATGACAGCTCAAAACAAGCTCTGTAAAAAGATCTGACAGCTTGGACTGACCGATTTTAGCTGCATCCCAGATCGGTATCGTAAATCAGTGTTGATGTTGGTAGATCCTGCCTCAGGGGCCCCGGGCACGCTCCCCAGGCCCTTAAAGGGTCTTCCCACAGGGCTAACCCCGAGCAAGTTCAAAATCGCCTCTCCCGCAGGCAGGGGGGCAGTGGAGGGCCTGCCGTGTCCCCCAGGAAAGGGCAGTCAAGCCTGCTGCAACCCCGCGATTCACCGGGGCTGTTTTACCGCCCGTCACATCAGCAGTCGATCTCCAGGTATCCAAGGTGCACGTCCAGCTCCCACCCACTTGCAGAGGGGCAGGCGATTCCATCTCTGCAGCGTTTGTTTGAATTCCCTCTCACAACGGACTCACTGGGACACCTCCGGCCTCGGAGTGGCGGGAAACAGCCTCCTGTGGAAGAAGGAAGGGGGAACGATCCTCAGGAAGGCAAGTGCTTGCTGCAGGGGACAGGTGCGTGCCTCCCCTTCCCGGGACCAAGCAGCTGATTAAGCAGGCCCCGATCTTGCATCTGTCATAGAGCGGATGCCGAGCCTCTGTGAGCGCTGACGATTGTGCCCACACTGGCTAGTGACTGGCATGGATCTGTGTTAGCGCTGCACGAGGATGGAATCCATGACCTGGGAGGTGGTGGGCTCTCCCACACGGGAGGCATTCAAGATTCAGCTGGACGGCCACCAGAGGGGGGTGGCGTGGACTGGTGACCTGCACCGGCCGGGGGTGAACCTGACGGCCTTCCACCCGTTCCGGCTCTGTTATTCCACGATTCTAGGACAGGTGCCAGTGGGAGTATTCGGGCTGTTGGGGGTTCTTTTTAACCCGGCCGTTGGCAGTCCATTGTAGGGCTAGTGAGAGTCAGAAAAGACTGTTTGGGGGTGTCGCGGAAGGGGTAGCCTGACTCATTTGAAGCCTGGTCCCTCAGACTGACTCTGGCCCTGATCCTGTGTTTCCACTGACACGCCACGAGAAGATGAGACTTCTCCCACTGCTCGCCTCCACACCAGGGAAGTCGCTGCCGATTTAGCTCTGCTCTGCTCTGCTCTGCTCTGCTCTGCTCTCCACTCAAATATACAGAGAGGGGTGGCAAAAAGCGAGGCACACCTCCGATTCTGCCCAGAAGTCACTGGCGGTTCTTGCTCAAGATAGCCGTCGACATCTGGATGGCCAGATGTTGGCAAGCAGGAAGCCAGCCGGCTCCTCGCTTCCTCGTGCTGTTTGTTCAGTGGCCACGGCTCTGGCCTTGGCCATCCCGGGGTGAAAGGGAGCCATTGTCTGGGCCGGCCCTGGGGGCCTCGCGGGAGCCTGGTGTCATGTTCATAAGCTCAGCACATCCAGGAAGGGGACATTCAGCTATTTGCCCTTTTGAGGGGTCTATTGGGGGCGAAGGGTGAGATGCAAGAGAGGCCAAAGTTCAAATCAATCTCAGCTTAACTTAATTTTCAAGATTGTGGGGAGAATAAAATGAGCTTTTCCAGCTCCTTGGAGGGAGCCTATGATGCAGAGTCTAGGAGGCCCTGCCTCTTTATCAGGGGTATGAGAAACGTATGGGCACCCAAGGGCACCTTTCTATCCCCAGGAGTCCAAGGTTGGAGCACCAGTGGTGCCTTTACCCTCAAGCTAGAGATCCACCCAGCTGCACAGCCCTGGTGGCTGGGGGGGGGGGGTATCCAGATGAACGAACAGAACAGAAAGACACCATTGAGAAACCATTTTAATCAAGCAACCAGAAAATATTCCAGACCTGATTACAAAACTCTCATTTTTATTACTTATTCATTGCATTTATTTGAAAGCTGTCCATGAGCAAACACACTGTCTTATTACTTCTAAAAACAGCAGGAGGAAAACATGGATCTGAAAAACAGCACTCTCTCCTGCGTGCGAGGGAAGAGGAATGCCGTCTCTCGAATTCTTTGGTTTGGTACAGGCCCCATCGGTGCGGGTGTTCAAGGACAGGCTGGACAAGCACATGGTGGGCATGCCATGAGTGGAGCCGGCTGGAGCCGGGGGTCAGGCTAAATAGCCCGGGAGGCCCCTTCCAGCTGGCTCTGTTTCTGTGCTTCTAATTCTTTGGAAAGGGCTTATCGCAACATGGTGCCCTCCAGAAGTCTTGAAGGCATGGGACTTGCTATGCTGGTTGGGAATCATAGGACCTGCAAGAAGTCTCATGAAGCCCAGGAATTCTGCCCAAAATTATTGGTCTGTGCAGCTTTCAAGTAGTCCGAGGATGCTCCCATATGCAAGCGAGCAGCACAGCTTGGCAGCTTTAGACCCGGGAGCAAAAGGTCTTAGGCGAGGCTCTTTTAGGTGGCCACGTTGCCTTGCTTCAGTTTAAAGCGCACAACCAACCGTCTTCCACACACACACAATTCCTCCACTGCTGTTCCGTGTGTGAACAACTGTTTTTGCCTTCCCAGCTGTGGAAGGAAAAGGGGGGGGGGGAACCAACCTGTTTCTAGGCATGCTAGGAGAAGAAATATGCCGCACACTTTCACTTTCGCAAGTTGCACATGACAGAGAGAAGCCCGACAACTCCCGGAACAGCCAAGCCACTTTCCAGTTGCGATGCACACACAGCTGCACACGAAACTCACACAGATTGCAGCACCTTCAGGACTCCAGGAATAAAAAGGAGCTTCTTTCTGCCCTGGTCCAAGACTCCGTTCCCTGGAATAACCACTTGCATTTCTGCCTGTGTTGTGAAAATGGAGAAGGTATTTCTAAAGTAAATAATCATCATCAGAGGGCACCCAGCACATTGGACCTTGCTGGCTTATGTCCTGACTATACAATATACAGAATAGCTGCACCAGTCCGCCTGATTAGGAAGGTCAGAAGGTAACCTGAAGCACTCTCGGGCTTACTTGTGAGAAAGTCCCACACCTGAGCAGAGCTGCAAAGTGCTGTTTCAGGACTCAAGCGAGCAATTGACTCCCCCGGCAATGCTGCTCTCACCTTCCCCCTCAAACTCCATGGGACATATTTCGGAATAAGCCAGACTTCCCCACTGTGGTGCCCATCTGGCTTGAGTTGCTGGGAAGATCTCCGGTTAGGAAGGGTGGAAGAGTCACGTGCCCTGGAAAACTCATGCTATCGGGCTGCTAAGGCTTCCACTTGGTGAAGCGTGCTTGGCTTTCCGTGCCCTCTCTCTGTCCAAGTTGCCCGACTGCCCACTGCAACGAGAGATATTGCAATATGAAGGGCCAGGTATCACCCAGGACAAGGCCTGGCACTTCAAAGCGCCTTTGCATTTAACGGGCAGCTTTTAAAAAAAGTGAATCTGTCAGCAGTGGAGAATCAGGGGTGGGCAATTTTCCCGATTGCAGCTGGTGGGTTTTCCTCCCCTGTTATGTCCTGCCTCCTAAGGAAAACTTCAGAATTTGCATTTTTAAAAGCTGCCAGTACATGCATTTTGAAAAACCTGCATGTTCGATGCAAAATATGCATTTAACATTCAGGTGTATCTTGGTCCTTCTCACTTGCAGAATTTGGTATGGGACACACAATGGAGTTCCCAGAAGCCCCAAGCACAGCCATGGCAAAGCACTGGCTTTAAGGCACATGCCAAGAAAGACCAAAAAAGCCCCCCCCCCTGGGGGGGGGACATGCTGAAAGCCAGAGGCCTTTGTCTTGTCTTAACAGGAAGCAGATCCCACCCTCAGAGATGTTTTGAAGGTGTTTATTTGGAGAGCTCAACAGATGAGCTTCACTTTTCCAGCCTGGTGCTTGGCAGATATGTTGTAAGATTGGAGCCGTTAGCTGGGGATGCTAGGAGTTGTGGTACAACCCATCTGGAGAGCATCAGGTTGCAGAAGGGGGATTGAGCGTCTTTTCCATGGCCGCCTGGAACTGTCAGAACACACTTCTGGGTGCCTCTTTGCAAGTGGTCCAACCAGAGCTCTGTAAGAGTGGACATAGGATGCCAGGGTTCCCCAACATGGTGCTTGTGGGCACCC